CCTAAAATTCTCTTTGAACTCTTACACATATATGTGTGTTTAATAGTTCAACTTATGTAGTCTTGATATAATACTAGGTCTTCTTATACAGGCATTTCTTATTTGGGGTTCTTTTTAAACAGCTTTATTTGCGTAGAATTTACATGCTGTATAATTTACCCATTTAAAATGTACAAATGGTAGGTTTTTAACTGATTCACAATAGGTGCAAGGAAACCATAGTCAATTTTACATCGAATCACCTCTTAAAGAGACTTCATACTCTTTAACTGTCACCACCCCCATTCTCTCATCCTTGCGGCTAGGAAACCACTAATCTGCTTATTTCACTTTTTGTCAGTCTCATTGAGATATAATTAACATATAACATTATTTTAAGGTGCATTATGATTTATGTATATATTGCAAAACATAGTTATCACCTCAGAGTTACAAGTTTTCATGTGATAAGAATTTTTAAGAGCTATTCTCTTAGCAACTTTCAAATGTATTGTTTTTTGGGTTTTTTTGTTTTTTTTAAAAAAAGATTTTATTTATTTATTTGACAGAAAGAGAGAGAGCGAGAGCAGGAACACCAGCCGGGGGAGTGGGAGAGGGAGAAGCAGGCTTCCCGCTGAGCAGGGAGCCCAATGTGCGACTCAATCCCAGGACCCTGGGATCATGACCTGAGCTGAAGGCAGACGCTTAACGACTGAGCCCCCCAGGCGCCCTCAAATGTATTGTTAATTATATCTAGTATACATTGTACATACGTACCACATTATCTACTCATCTGACAATGAACAAGGTATTTCCATTATTTTGGCTATTATGAATAATGTTGCATGTTTTTCACATATTTGTGAATTTTCTAGTTTTGAACTTATAACTGACATCCATTTTCATGCCATAGTGGTTGGAAAAGATGCTTGGTATGATTTCAATTATAAATTTATTAAGACTTGTTTTGTGGCCCAGCATATACTCTATACTGGAGAATGTTCCATGTGCATGTGAGAAGAATGTGTTTTCAGATGTTGCTGGATGCAGTGTTGAACGTCTGTCTGCTTCATATCATTGAAGTCTGAGGTCCCCTCATTGATTTTCTGTCTGGATAATCTACCCATTATTGAAGGCACAGTATTGAAGTCCCCTTCTAATGTATTGATGTCTCTTCCTCTGTTCTCGTCTGTTAATAGTTGCTAAATGTGTTAAGTGCTTTTATGTTGGGTGTGTGAATAATTATAAAAGTTATATCCGTTTGTCAAGTTGACCCTTTTATTTTTTTAGGAAAAACAGGTTATATATATTTGAAAAAGTATAAAAGATTACTATAGATCAAACAAAATTTGTTAAAAGTAAGTGACTGCTATGTATTCAAATTCGAACGAAACAACACAACAATCCAATGCACAAAAAGATTATTATATAGCTCAAGGAGCAGAAAGCAATAAAAAGAAATGTCTTGTCAATACAGACACTACATGAACATACAAACCTACAGCTTTAATGTAACACAAACACAAATCATAAGTACATGTGTTAGCTACCTTTCTCCAATATTAAGGGAGTAAATATTTTATATTTAGTAAATGCATATATAATGTACACAACTGTTAGTCACATATAAGCTATGCTAAAAACTTTGAATCAACTAGAATGTAAAGGTTTCTTATGAGAAGATGTACATTTCAGAAAAAACCCAGCTTCAACTAAATCCACTATCACAACTATAGCAAAAGTGACCCGTATAAAGCCTATCATTTACAACTGTATATAAAGAAATACTGCCCAGAAATAATATCAGAAATCTTACTGAAGGGCATTATGGTAACCTGCTTGAAAGTACAAGTAATTTATTTAGGGACTTTAAATAGCAGATAACAACAGGGACACCTGCGTGACTCAGTCAGTTAAGCATCTGCCTTTAGCTCAGGTCATGATCACAGGGTCCTGGGATGGAGCCCTGCGCCGGGCGCCCAGCTCTGCGGGGAGCCTGCTTCTCCCTCTCCCTCTGCCTGCTGCTCCCGCTGCTTGTGCTGTCAAATAAAAAAAAAAAACTTTAAATAGCAAACAATGTTAATTAAATAACATGTGAAAAAAATATGCATTGTATAATACCAAGAGGTTAGACAACTGAATGCTGTGGAAAAGATTAGCCCTCTACAAGTTAGTTTTGATAAATTATTGGCTACTTGTTATAGCAAATTACCAAGATTTTCACTGCAACTGTATTTTTCCATACACATCAAAATCTGAAAGCAATAGGTTTTCCTCAAATTGTTACTCAGTGTTTTTTTTTTCCCCAACCCTCAAAACACAGAAAAAGGATTTTGTAAATCAACTACTTGTTTAGGGGATTCCTAAGATATCAATGTTCATAAACCTTAAACAAGCTACAATTGAAGTATGTGGACAAACACCACCATTTATGGAAAAAGGTATTGGTTTTGAAAGAGGTTAAGTACTGCATGAGTTACATAATCATACTATTCCTGTTCTTCCAGAATCAAACTGGGGGAAATCTTTTTTGACATTCTGCCAAACACCACATAATTAAAAACACTGCACAAAGTGAGCCCTTTATTTTAAATGACCTTTGCCATGTTTTACTATACTCTCTGGCTTAAAGTTTATTTTAATTGATGTAAGCATAGCTAACCTGCTTTCTTTTGGAATCCATTGGCATGGAATATATTTTTCCACACCTACGCTTTCAGTCTAAGTGTGTTCTTAAAGTTTCCTAAACTCAGGGCACCTAGGTGGCTTAGTCATTAATCGTCTGCCTTCGGCTCAGGTCATGATCCCAGGGTCCTGGGATCAAGCCCCACATCGGGCTCCCTGCTCCCCGGGAAGCCTGCTTCTCCCTTTCCCACTCCCCCTACTTGTGTTCCCTCTCTCGCTGAGTCTGTCTCTGTCAAATAAATAAAATCTTTAAAAAAAACGTTTCTTAAACTCTTGAAGACTGTACATGGTTGGGTCTTGTATTTCTTTCCATTCAGGCGATCTGTCTTTGGATTGGAGAATTTAGTCCCTTTATATTTAAAGCAAGTATCAGTACAAGTATGGAGTTACGGTTGTCATTCTTTTCATTGTTTTCTGGCTGTTTAGAATTATTTGTCCCTTTCTTATTCATTTGCTCTCTGTGATTTGATGATTTTCTATAAGGGTATACTTAGGTTATTTTCTCTTTATCTTTTGTGTATCTACTACATTTTTTGATTTTGTGATTACCGTGAGGCTTAAAGAAGACATCTTATAGCAGTCTAGTTTAACTTCTTACCAGCTTAAGTTTGCTACTAAAACACTTTCAGGACTCCGGTAATTCTCTAAAAATGTGGATGTAGGGGCGCCTGGGTGGCTCAGTCGGTTACTCATCTGCCTTCCGCTCAGGTCATGATCTCAGGGTCCTGGGATCGAGCCCCACATCGGGCTCCTTGCTCAATGGGGAGTCTGCTTCTCCTTCTCCTTCTGTGCTCTCCCTCCCTCTCTCTTTCAAATAAATAAATAAAATCTTAAAAAAATAAAATAAAATAAAAATAAAAATGTGGATGTACAATTGTATGTCATTTTACGGAAGAGCTAGCTATTCTCTGCTATCTATGAGGATTTCTTCATTTCAGCCCCATCAACTCATACTCTCTCACGATTACTATTATGAAGATGTATCAGTAGTTTACTGGACTGCCATCCCATTTTCATTAAAGACCAATCAGTAAAACATTTAATTTGTAATATTCAGAATTTTATTTAGTTTTAATAAGTGGAGAATGAAGTTCTGAACACCTACTTCATGGTGACCTATATCAACGTTATAACAAGAGGAATATTCATTTAGATTTTCCTCATATATTGTATGTTACATTGTCCTTCACCTTCCATGGAAAATTAGATATGCATGAATCCTACCTAAGAAAGAAGGGAATCTCATATACTTAATGCAGCAATAATCACCTACATAGTTTCACACACCCACTAGGAATAAGTGAATTTTCTGAGAGTTATGGGAGTAGAAAAAACATTAATAATTGCAAGTTACAAATCTCATATAGGGTCAATGGAAATAAAAACACATTGAAATTATACCTATCCAAAAATCCTTCCCTTCTATATTTTGAAGCATAATAACACATTATCTAACTGTGTATTATTACTTTTTTGAGATAATCTCTGAAGTGACTGATGTACTGCTTTATACTGTGAATTCTGTGATATTTATGGACATTTGAGGTTCAATGAAATATGTTTCTATGTATTTTTATCTTTCAAGTTACTTTTCTTCTCTGAACTCTCTGATGTTTTCTGAACTGTAAGAGAACATCTTTCCTCATTCATTATGTTTGTACAGTTTTAACCAAGACTGCATTTTGGGAAACCAGTAAGGATTGAATTCCACTTAAAGGCTTGGCCACTTTCTTTACATGTTACAGTTTTACTCCTGTATGATAATGATGATGTTGAGCAAGTTATGACTACCAGCTAGAGGTTTGCCACATTCTTTCCATTTGTAGTATTTCTCCTCAGTATGAACCTGTGATGCTCCGTAAGGGTTAAGCAATCCAAAAGCTTTACCACATTTTTAACACTTATAAGCTTTCTCTCTTGTATGAATTCTGTAATGCTGGAAGCTTGAGCACTACGAAAGGGCTTGCCAAATTTTTATATTTGTAAAATCACCTCTACTGTACATTCTCTGATAAGGAATGAGGGTTTAGCATTGCTTAAAGGTCTTGGAAAAAACAAAAAAACAAAAAAACATTCTTTACACATGTATAGTTACTCTCCAATATGAATTCTCTGATGTGGAGTCAGGGTTCAGCAGTCCTTCCAAATTCTCTCACAGTCTTCAAATTTGTAAGGCTTGCTCCAGTATGAATTCTGTGATGTACGGTAAGGTGTGACTGATGGATAAAGGCCTTGCCACATTCTTTACATTTCTAAGGTTTCTCTCTAGTATGACTTCTGTGATGTACAGTAAGGTGTGACTGCTGGATAAACCTCTTGCCACATTCTTTACATTTCTAAGGTTTCTCTTCACTATGAATTCTGTGATGTTTAATAAGGCTTGATGGATGGTTAAAGGCTTTGCCAAATTCTTTACATTTGTAAGGTTTCTCTTCAGTACGAATTCTGTGATGGTGAGTAAGGACTGATTTATGGATAAAGGCCTTGCCACATTCTTTACATTTATAACGTTTCTCTCCAGTATGAATTTCTTATGTTCAATAAGGTTTGAATGCTCTTTAAAGGCCTTGCCACATTCTTTACATTTATAAGGTTTCTCTCTAGTATGAATTATGTGATTTTTGAGTAAGGGTTGAGCGCTGCTTAAAGGCCTTGCTGCATTCTTTACTTTTGTAAGGTTTCTCTCCACTACAGGTTGTCTTGTGAATACGTATTATTGAAGACTGACTAAACATGTTCCCAGGCTTATTATATCTCTATGGGTTTTTTCCCACATGAATTCAATGATGATCACCAACACTGGAGGACTGGTTAAAATCTCTTTCACATTCATTAAATTTATAAGGATTCTCTCTCATATGCATACTGTTATATAGAAGGTTGGACCTTTGATAAAAGACTTCCCCACCCTTAATACATTGCAAATGGTTCTCTTGAAAATGATTCATTAGATGTTTATTACCATTTGAACCTTGATGAAATTTTTTCTCACATTCACTGCCTTGAGCAATTCTGTCTCCATTGAAAATGCTCTGGTAATTTTGGAGTGTTGAGTCCTCAGTGAAGGACCTCTCGAATGGATCCCATTTAGCAGTTGTTTCTTCATTTTTATTTTTTATTTTTTTATTTTTTAAAGATTTTATTTATTTGACAGAGAGAGACACAATGAGAGAGGTAACACAAGCGGGGGAGTGGGAGAGGGAGAAGCAGGCTTCCCGCCGAGCAGGGAGCCCGATGCGGGGCTCGATCCGAGGACCCTGGGACCATGACCCGAGCCGAAGGCAGACACTTAACGACTGAGCCACCCAGGTGCCCCAGTTTCTTCATTTTTAAATCTCTGAAGTTTAGAAATATTTGACTAAAGGTCCATCCAATCCTATTTTCAAAATTGTTCAAATCATTATTTTCAGCATGTACTAGGTAACTTTCCAGATTTTCCACATCCTCTATCCATAAATATATATATTTGAATATTTGATTGGATTTTCCTTACAGAAACACCCTGCTTTGCAGAACTAGTGGACTTAAAAAGGAAGGTTTTACAAAATATTTTATATCTTTCACCATTGTGGGCAGTGAGATTCTTATTATGGGCAGTAGTCTCTATTTGGATATATCCTTTATGATCATTATCCCAGTCTATCATTAAGTGTAACTTCTCAAGGACACTATGTTTATATCGACCCATTGATAGAGCTGAAAGATACTGAATAACAGAAAAGTAACATCATTCCACTTACAACTTTCAAATATACTGATGAGGTCTAACATAGTGATGATGTCTAACATACAACCATAAAATCAATCAGAGAACATCAGCAAGATGGCTGAGAAGGAATCATCAGGACTTCATTCCTCCATGGACACATAAACTTGCACACAACATACTGACTACATAGCTTAATAGATAATTCTGTAGAATTGTCAGGGTGTAACACAAATCACTCTTCTCTACCTCAAATAATCATGAAAAGTAACATATGAGCCCAAAATCAGCAAAAGGAAGGAATTCTTTTTAAAGACTTATTTGAGAGAGAGAGAGAGAGAGAGAGGAGAGCATGAGAGGGGAGGGCCAAAAGGAAGGGGCAAGTAGATTCCCCACTGAGCAGGGAGCCTGACACAGGATTCAGTCCCAGTACCCTGAGCCGAAGTCAAAGAGATTTAACTGACTGAGCCATCTTGGCGCCCAGTGGAGAAAAGGAAATTTAAAAGAGAAATGAAAAAAATGATTTAGCAAAAATAGGAAAATAACAATAGGGGGATTTGGTTTTCAGAAAAAACAAAAATCAAAATTGACAGACCTATAAATAAATCAAGTAAGAATGAAAGGGAAGACCAACTAAAATCAGAAGAAGTGAAACAGACACAGTATAACTGATACCATAGAAATACAAATAATTATGAGGCAATGGTACATAATTATATGCCAAGAAATAGATACCAACAAATGGGTATAAATATCAAAAAACATATAACCAACCTGGACTCCATAATGAAGAAATATTTTTAAAAACCTCCACTGATCTACAACTACTTAGTAGATTGAAAAAGTAATTTAAGGGGCGCCTGGGTGGTTCAGTCGTTAAGCGTCTGCCTTTGGCTCAGGTCATGATCCCAGGGTCCTGGGATCGAGCCCCATATCGGGCTCCCCGCTCGGCGGGAAGCCTGCTTCTCCCTCTCCCACTCCCCCTGCTTGTGTTCCCTCTCTCACTGTCAAATAAATAAAATCTTAAAAAAAGAAAGAAAAACTAATTTAAAAAAACACCCAACAAAGAAAAGTCCTGTGCCAGAGGAGTTCACTGGATTATTCCTACATATATATAGTGAGAAACTGCTTCAAATCTCCTCCAACATTTCCAAGGAATAAAGACAAGGGAGACGGTAACTCTCTCTGTGACACCAGCATTAACACGTTATCAAAGCCAAAGGGCAGATGCTACAAGTAAAGGCTACAAACTACTACTTGTGAGGAAGATTCATGCAAAATTGACAATAAAATAAAGCAAACTGAATCAAAAGCACACATTACCATTTTACAACATAATCAAGTGGGAATTTTTCCTGGAATTCAAGGCTGTTTCAACATATGGAATACTATCAATTTGAGACAGCACATTAGTATCAAAACTGGCATGATTAGGAGCACCTAGGTGGCTCAGTCAGTGAAGCGTCTGCCTTCCAGATCATGACCTGAGCCAAAGGCAGACGCTTCACTAAGCCAACTAGGTACCCCTCAACTTCTTCTTTCTTAACATTACACCACAGGGAAATAGAAAAAGAAGAAACTTAGCTGAAAATCAGTAGGAGGGAATACCAAAGAGAAATCAGAAATAAAATATACACCAGAATAAACAATAACATTGAAAGCAATGCCCAATTTTACAAAACAACAAACAAAACTGGCAATGGTTTAATGACATTACCCAAGAAAAAAAGGAGAGAAGACTCAAAAACCAAAATGAGATATGGAAAAGAAAATGATACAACACATAACCACAGAAATTTACACTGTGATAACAGATTACTATAAACAATTATGTACTAACAATTTAGAAAAATTAGGGAAAAAAAAGATAATTCCTACAAGTGCAGAAGTTACCAAGTTTGAAATATAAACCTTGAACCTAAAAAAAAAGCAAGTCTTCTTAGACCAATTACAAAAATAAGAGTTGAATTTGGAATAAAGATCCTCCCAGTATAAAAAAGCCCAAGACTACATGCCTTCATTGGTCAATTTGAACATATACTCAAAATAATAATAATAATAATTAATAAAAGTAATAATGACAAATCTTAGAAATAGCAGAATAAAGGGAAAATCATTCTATGAGGCCAGCATTATCCTAGTACCAAAGCAGGATAAAGACAACACAAGAACAAAAATGTCTCTTTTGTCCGATATAAGTATTGTTACTCTGGCTTTCTTTTGACATCCATTTTCATCCCCTCTCTTTCAATCTGCAGGTTTCTTTAGGTTTAAAGTTAGTCTCTTATAGGGCTGCCTGAGTGGTTCAGTCATCAGCATCTAACTTCAGCTCAGGTCATGATCTTGGGATCCTGGGATTGAGCCGTGTCGGGCTCCCCACTCAGCGTGGAGTCTGCTTGTCCCTCTCCCTCAGCCCCTCATTCTGCGTATGCTCTAATAAATAAAATAAATCTTAAAAATAAAATAAAAATGAGGCTTCTGTATGCAGCATATAGATGGGTCTGTGTTTTTTAACCCATTCAGACAGCCTATGTGTCTTGATCGAATGAAAATGTACTATATACTCCAAAGTAATTATTGAGAGATACATGTTTATTGCCATTTTATTCCTTGTTTTGTCACTGTTTCTGGAGATTTTCTCTGATGCTTTCTTATCCATATCACTTTTGCTGTCTTATCTGCACTCAAAATTCTGCTTTAACATTCCTTATAGGGCTGGTTCATTGATCAAGCTAATTCTACCCCTCCATGGTGAATTTGATCAGCCACTCTTCTATGCCACCTTTGCTTTTTCCATCTTCCCACCACCATGTCAAACATATTCTTGGAAATAGCTCCCTCTTTGACAAGTAATGCAGGTACAATCTGCTTCTGGTTGCAATGCTGGATTTCTTAGCTTGGACTCCAGTCAATCCATAGCCTTCAAAAATATCAAGTTTTTCTGGGCGCCTGGGTGGCTCAGTCGTTAAGCGTCTGCCTTCGGCTGAGGTCATGGTCCAGGGTCCTGGGATCGAGCCCCAATCAGGCTCCCTGCTCTGCGGGAAGCCTGCTTCTCCCTCTCCCACTCCCCCTGCTTGTGTTCCCTCTCTGTGTCTCTCTCTGTCAAATAAATAAATAAAATCTTTAAAAAAACAAAAAAATATCAAGTTTTCCCTGTACCTTACTAGTTCCCACTGTTTCACGGTACAGGAGCTCTTCTGTTTTTAACTCAGGCTTCCTCCTAAAATTTGACTTTGCCTAATATGAGCATGGACATAAAAATCCATTGCACTTTCCAGTATTCCCCAAAGAATCCACTTATAGAGAGAAGCCTGAGTGAGCCATGTGGCCATTATTACATACACTTTAATGGTGAGAGATTAGAGAGAGCACACTGTAGGGGAAACAAGAAGCTCTCACAGAAATTACTGTTCTTCATCTGTCTCCTGGGCTGCTCAGCCTGTGAGGACTCCAGGATTCACTTCTGAATGCTGGGTTCCTGCTGGGAACTCTTCCCTCTCTGCCATGTCCTCCCCTTTCTCTAGTGTTGTGTTACAGATTAATTTGCTTTCCTAAGTTTATATCTTACTATGAATACATAGGATTACCTTGATGTGCAGAGTAGGTTAGCTTGCGTTTACATGCAACTTCTTAAAAAGTAGTTTAAGTGATACATGCTTAGGTATATCTGTATCTAGTTTTCTTTCTTTTCTATTAAAGTATACTTGACATTCAATGTTACATTA